AACCCCCCCCAAAAAAAAAAAAAAAACAAAAAAAAACGCAAGTCAAACGGGCTTCTGCATACGTCTCACATCCGAGGCATGTTACGACTTACAGATATGGGCGTCAATCCCTATTCCTTCCTTCATTGCCAGACAATATTTGCCAAGATGGGATAGGCACACATATCGAGAAAGCCTTTCCGCTGGTCTGGCCTGGTTCATCCACCTACCTGGCCACCCACACTGCCGAGTAGGTACGTACTCTCTCCGCTGAGTGCTATCACTGCTAGTGTCTAGCGGTATACGAGTGCAATAAAATGTAGCAGAGTCTAGTAATAATAGTAGTCTTGATCACTCGGACTGACCACGCCAACCTCCAACCACTCGGACCACTCCCTGGCAGACTCGCAGACTCAAAGCTACGGCTCAGAGGCATCCGGGCTATAGCCTACGAGTAGTAATACTCCGCATGTCATTCAGATGAAAAAAAAAAAAAGAAAACCAAAAAAAAAACCCCCAAAAAAAACACACACACAGGTTGCCGCCATGTTTTCCCTTCTCGATAACAAGTATCACAGCAACTACCGAGCGCAGCTAATACATGTGGTATTATTGACAACAGTAAATCACACCTGACCTCTCTTTTTTTTTTTTTTCGGGAATGATATCAATATTTGGACATGAGCACGGAGTATCGCAGTCTGGTCGTGCTCATCCACGGGAATGATAATATTCGTACTGGGCATCAGCAGTGCTACATATCTCGTACATGTACTGCCTGTTAGTGCTACGTGCTAGTGATTCCATCATGACTGATTCGTCGTGGGGTTGCAAAGTTGGCAAGAGCTAACTGAAGACGAAGGAAGACGAAGGAAGGAGCAAGGGAGGGGGGTGTACGTGAGCCCTGAGCCAGGTTCTCTACCGATACTCTCACTGCTGCTGGCCTGCTGCTGCCGCTGCTCCAATCACAATATCCCAATCCTACGCACGTACCAGGGCCCTTGGAATTCCCTCTTTACGAGTACAGGTATCGTACCTCTCTCTCTCTCCCAGGTTCTCTCTCTCTCTGTGGAGTAATATGCAACGTGCTCACACACCACCCCCCCTCCTTGGCAGAACAGGTACGTACATGCACATTCCCGCCCGCGGCAGCCTTGTTTTGCTTTCTCCCCCCCCTCCCCTTTCTCTCTCTGTGACCCGCTTGGCAAGCCTGCAGAAGTCACCAACAGAGCATCAGCGGCTTATCTGATGACGACCTACCTTGTCCTGGTGTAGATATATATGGAATACATACAGACAAGTAATATAAGCCGTACGCGACGCAGTGCTACTTCCGTTCCGTACGTAGTCGTGGCGTCGTCGCAATACAACGGTTTGCGAGCATTACCCGTACAAGTAATACGACCTACTTGTACTCGTATGTGATACATCCCCCCAATCTAGCTAAGCTTGACTGTTCTAGCTAATATGGCCCGTGGCCCACGGTCCCATGGGCCCATAGATCATGGATCATGGATCATGGATCATCATCTCTCATCACCCGAGACGTCGAACCGCAATACTCCGTACTCCGTAACCGTACCGGCAACTGACAACCAGGGGCCCCTCTCTTCCACTCACTTACTTTCCAGGGCTCCTCACTCCCATCACCCCCCCTTGCCCTTGCTCTCACTCCATCTCTACACACACACCCCCTCCTTTTTCCCTCCCATCGTCTTTCAGTTTTTGCCTCCTCCTCTTGTTTCGCCCCCCCCGCATTATCCTCAACTACTCAACGCATACGAGCCATATCCATCATCACATCCTACTAGGTGAAGGAGAGGGAGAAGAAGGAAAAAAAAAAAAACTCTGGCCCGTAGCTACGGAATCACGGCACTAACCGTTATTTGTCGTCCACGACCCTTGCTCCTCGCACTTGCACCACCGCCGTCGCCGCCACCTCCTTCCTCGGTCCACACAGCGTATGATACTCCGTACTCTCGTACATGTGTGCTCAGTCGACCGCCAGAAATTAGCTCCAGAATATCCCGTCAGCTCGCAAAACGCCAGAGGCAGAGGGGCGAGGGAGCGCTGGCAGCAGAACCACCGTGCCCCTCGAGACCACGCTTCCTGTCCGTCGGCGCCATGACGTTGGCTGTCGTTACCTGTTTCGCCCGCCCTAGCTAACCAGCAGAGACGGCATGGCATGGCCTTTCTGCCCGTGCGCAGACACCCAAACACCCAAGCATCCCTGAACAAGTTGACAAGGCGAAGAGAAAAAGCAAAGAAGGGGTACCCATCTGAGGCGTAATACACCTGTCGGAATTCAACCCTGTGGCGAGGAAAGGGGGAAAAAGAAAGGAAAACCATGCTTTCCTTCCCCCCCCTCCCCTTCTCCGGGACCGCCCCTCATGTCTCTCTGCTAGGCTGCTAACTAAGTTGCACCCAGACGGAAAAGCAAAACGCCACTACCGCCAACATTCGTTCACCAGAGAATGAAAATCCTAGAACGTCCCGCTCACTCGCAACTGTTGAAAGGTCTAGACTGCAACGTCGTGCTATTATCATCCAGACACCTCTCGAATTCGAGTAAGGAGTGATAACGCCACCAAAGTGAACGACCTGGTCTACCTTTCACCTGGCAGCGTGCATTGCAGCAGCATGCATAGTCTTTAAACCTGTCTCTCAGCCGTTGCGCAGCCGAAGATCTTGCCCTCTCCATCTCTCTTGATAGGAAGGGCTAGACTGGTGAAGGCCCGTTCACGGTCGACTCTTGGTGTACATCCACTTCTGACCTATCGTGATCTACCTAGAGGTTGACACTCTATGCTCTGCACCACCAGCTGACCCATCATGTCAAGTCAATTCCAGCCTCACGCACCGCGTCGCCAAGTCGGGCGAACCCATCCTGTTGAACTTTAAGCGAGGCCAGATGGACGGCAAAGTTGACTTGTCGCTCCGTGTCCCAGTCAGCGTGGCACAGCAGCCCATACAGCATTCCGGCGACGAAGGTGTCGCCAGCTCCGAGGGTGCTATATTTCACACGTCATACTCAGTAAAATGGAGAAACTAGTAATCCTCGGCAGATAGAGGAACAAAGCAAGGGAAAATAAAAAGCAATGTCAGTCTGTGTCAGCAGGGAGAGAGATCTCGGTCACAAGAGAGCAAGCACTTTCATAGCGGCAGCGACAGCGGAGACAGAAGGAATGTGATTGTCCATGGTGTTCTATTCTGGTGAGGGGGGTACCGTATGGAAGGGAGAGGTGTAAGAAAAAGTAGGAAAGCAAAGAGAGACAAACGTACTCTACAACCGTCGTCACATTGCCTGGGACGGGACAGTGAATGATACCAGCAGTACTCGTACTTGTAGAGTCATGACCGGTGAACCGAGACAGAGCGACGGCTCCTTTTGATCCCCATGTACAGAGGGCGAGGGATCTAAGACATGTGCAATGTGCACACGCACGTGAATGTGAGCTTGAGCAGGTCGAGTCGTCAATGTGTTTGGGGGGGGGGGGGGGGGGGGGGGGAGTAATTAGGTTCTCGAGGAAGGAGGAAAGGGAGGGAAAGACAGAAAGAAACAGTTAAAAAAAGCAAAGTGCAGGCCTAGGACATACGCTTTAGGGATATCTTGGTTTCTCAGACATGCTTCTGCCGAGTCGTGACCTTGATCCTTGGACACAGAGTAGAAAGGGTTAGTTTTGAAATGATAGTGTTCTTACCAAGACGAGAAAAGGAAGAAAAGAGAGATGATGTCCCCCGTACACACCTCTGCCCACGTTCGTGAATAGAAGACAACGTCGGCCTCGGCTGCCATATCCATGAGACCGAGTCGACCTGGCCTCTCGACCTCGACGCTGATCTTGGCGCCGGGAAGTAGTCTTCTTAATAGGTTTATACATGCTAGGGTGATGTCTGGGATGCGACCCTGGGGGGGGGGGGGAGAGTCAGAAGTTACATGATCAGAATGAATAGAGGGGGATAAAAAGAAGGAAGAGAGGACAAGAAAAAAGAACATTGATACCTCGAAATGCCACCATGTAGACTGCTTAGGATCAAACGACCGGACGACACGCTCAAACTCCCCAACTGTCATATCGTCGAGATCATTGTAGCTGACGAGGGTACGACTCCCCGTCTCGGCGCTGCGGATGGCATAGCTGCTCGCGGCCTCGACGCGGCCCTCCCGATGGATGCAGTGGGTGAAGTCGATGGGTGATTTGCCGTCCGGGCCCGGACCGTCAAAGGAAGAGAATACCCGGCGCGACGAGGCTGTTGATCTGCCGGGGAGGCACGTCACCAGGTAGGGTCTCACAGCAGCGACGGAGGGGTCATGGAGGAGGAGGAGCTGCTGAAGCACCTCGAGAGAGTTGGGGCAGTTGCCGCCTCGACGGGTGACGAGGTTTGTCGCTCGGAGTTTGGAGTCTTCTTCCGGGAAGGATGGGACGCTATATATATTATACCACTTCCTTGTTAGTGAGGGGAGAGGGGAGAGGTGAGAGGGAACAAAAAAAAAGCAGGAATAAGGATAGTGATGACAAGAATAAGAAGAAAGGGAGGCTACTCAAGAATTGTGTCTATGTAGCATGCTCCTGTGAGGATTAAATGGTACATTGTCATCGGGGTGTTAGTTAGGTTGGTGGTGCATATGATGTAACCAGACAGCTGTTCTCGTCCAACAGACATCAAGTATGTCCAATTCTCCCAGGAGGAACTTTGGAAACACAAGAGGAGGAACGACGGAATTACGACTCTCAATCATGAATGACCCATGATCACTCCTCAATGCACTCGGCACAAGAAATGCTTCGTACAGGGTAAGAACGGAAGCACGGTTAACACGGTGTCTTAGTAATCCCCTCGCTCTTTGGAGAAGTTCTAGCGTCGAGAGCGATGACGTCCTCGGCGGCATTCTCCAGGCAACGATTTTCCTCAAACCCCTTCGTCAGATGATGCTGATGTTTATATCACTCGGTTTACTTCATCGAAAACCATGGCCAAATAGAAGATACCTCCGGCTTGTTCTGAACAAGAGGTTCGAAGGGAGAAAGAAGATCCACCGGACAACACGTCAAAACATCCAAGAAACAACTCGCCCCACACCGGACTCTCCGGTTGCCCCTCTTCTCTCCTCCCCGCCATACTGAAAAGGTCCGCCCTTCGGTAAGAAGGTAGATAAGAGAGAGAGAAAGTGTGTGTGCTCGATCGCCACTGACGACACATAGAACACACCCTGCATCAACGGTCAACGATCATGTCAGGCTCAGCTCCCCCGCACAAGGGAAGACCGAGTTTCGAGCTTCACGAAGATGCTGCTGACAGTGCAGACGGTGACGAAGACCACGAGAATCTCGAGGTGAGTTGCCACTCGTGTGATTCTTCTTCTGATTTCCGGCTGCTTGTAGTGATTACTGACATGTACAGGTGACGTTTGATCCATCAAACCCGTACCGACGAAAGAGTTCCCTCGTCGCATCCGAGACGACATCCCCGCGTCTGAAGAGCGCGCAGCAGCTGGCCGAGTCGACACGGGGCGAGTGTCTGGTCCACCACTTCCTCGACAACCAGCGACGTCCGCCGGACGGAGCGTGCAGAGCCAACGGAAGTCAGTATATCACACATTCGGCCTATTCGCAAACACAATACAACAATGGCGCCGGCAAAGCCACAGCAACAACAACAGCAGAAGCAGCAGCAGCAGCAGCAGGAGGAGGTGACACCATGCTGTCCGTGACGTCGGCGACGCCGATAGCAGCAACCGTGGACGGCGCCGGCAAAACTTCCATGGTCGGAATTGAAGCCGGACGGCGCGGATCCAAATGCATAGTGGAAGAGCCGACCAGCCCCAGCAATGTGACGGCCGGGCAGCCGGACCAGCAGGCGTGGACGAGCGAGATGACCAAGAGCGTCTCGGAGCTGGACCTGACGAGCTACTCGGACGACGTGCGCAGCCGGATGCTGTCGAAAAAGCAGCTGAGCGACATGGCGTGGGGGGTGCGCGAGCTGAGCCGGCGCCTGAGCAGCATGCGCATCCGGTTCCACGTACGGTCCGTGTTTCTCCTCACCAAGATCTACGACCAGGAGCTGCTCCCCAAGACGAGGGAGCTGACGCGCTGGCTGCTGCACAAGGATCGCGACACGCCCTACGTCGTGTACCTGGAGGACAAGCTCCGGACGAACAAGAGGTTCGACGTCGAGGGCCTGCTGGACCAGGTGGCGGCCGATTACGCGTCAGGCCGGGACGAGGACGGCGGGCCCATCAGCTACGAGGCCGCCCGGTCTTCGGTGGCCGCGCGCCTGCGCTACTGGGACGAGAGAATGTGCCGCCAGCGTCCGCACACCTTCGACTTCGTCATCACCCTCGGCGGCGACGGCACCGTCCTCTACGCCTCGTGGCTCTTCCAGCGCATCGTGCCCCCCGTCCTCAGCTTCTCCCTCGGCAGCCTGGGCTTCCTCACCAAGTTCGACTTTGACAGCTTCGCCCCGACCCTGACCTCGGTCTTCCGCAGCGGCGTCACCGTCAGCCTCAGGCTGCGCTTCGAGGGCACCATCATGCGCAGCCAGCCGATAAGGGACACGTCCGATCCCGCCACGGGCGACGAGAGCAGCGGTCCGTCCACGCCCTCCGAGGCCCTACCCGCAAGTGGAAGTGGAGGTGACAACCAGGCCGTGGTGCATCAGTATCAGCACGAGCGCCATCATCATCATAGAGAGAGGCGCGACCTGGTGGAGGAGCTCGTCGGCGAGGAGAAGGAGGATGTGCGCACACACAGGCCTGGCGAGACGTTTGAGATCCTCAACGAGATTGTCGTAGATCGGGGGCCCAACCCGAGTGAGTTCCCGACCCCTACCGCACCGCATCCGCCCCATCATCATCATCCCTTTCTCCTCTCCTCTTCTCCGTCCTCATCTCTGACCGAAACACCAGCAATGTCGAGCACCGAACTCTTCGGCGACGACGAGCACTTCACCTCCATCCTGGCCGACGGCATCTGCGTGTCCACCCCCACAGGGTCGACGGCCTACAACCTCGCCGCGGGCGGATCCCTCTGCCACCCGGAGAACCCGGTCATGCTGGTGACATCCATATGCCCACACGCTCTGTCCTTCCGCCCCATCATCCTCCCGGACACCATGGTCCTGCGCGTCGGCGTGCCCTACGACGCGCGCACGTCGTCGTGGGCCAGCTTCGACGGGAGGGAGCGCGTCGAGCTCCACCCGGGAGACTACGTCACCATCAGCGCCAGCAGGTACCCCTTCGCCTCGGTCCAGGCCGAGGGCCGTCGTAGCGAGGACTGGATCAATAGTATTAGCGGGAAACTGGGCTGGAATACGAGGCAGAGGCAGAAGGGGTACAAGGAGTGGGATAAATAGTGTGTGTGTGTGTGTGTGTGTTGTTGTGGTAGTAAATGTTATTACTAGTAGATGGTAGTAATAGAATATATATATAAGAGAGCAGAAACAACACGTCTATCATAACGGGTTGACAGCCCTCCCGTTACTGGAACGAGTGATAGTTTTAATAAGAAACCCCCAACTTTCAATCTCTATAAATTATCATAATCACAACAAAAACATATATAGTCGAACACGTCCCAAAAGAAAAGAAGAAAGAAAAAAAAGGAAGAGAGCACAAGGGGAAGTCGAAGATGAGATGGTAACAAAAGAACATGATATAAGGTGGCTAACTTGAACAGGCAGATACATACGACCATAGCCAGTGGAAAATACGGGGTCCCGTCAAGCTCTGTTTTAGTGTTTGATGTCCGCCTCTTTCGGCGGCATTTGCCTAGAAAAATGGCGGCTCGACCGCCGTAATCGACGGTAATCAAACCCCTATATTTCTCCTCATCCCACCGTTTTGAGTCGGTAAAAACGCTAACGCGAAGACACCGTTTCCATATCACGTACGCAATCTTATATTGATATTCCAGTGTGGCTAAGTACCTATATAGAATAATTCCGTGTCCTAGAGGCCACCGTCTGGGGAAGCACATTGACTCCTGTTTCCTATTGTCATTTTGCAGGGAACAAACAAGAACCAGAAGCCTATTGAGCACATGTCGGAACTGACACCGACGGCCTTGTCGTAGGTTTCGGCAAACTTTTTAAAGTAGCGGCTCTACGTCTTCTCAAAGGACTTGTCGAGGAGGTCCTTGTCCATCTTATTAACGTGGTCGATGAGTCTGCCGGCGATGGATATAGTGTGGGCATAGTAGCGCGCGGGCGTTAGCTAGTGTGTGTACTAGGCGAGGTGTGACGGTTGGTACGACTCTGTGCTACAGGGTAGTCAGAGAAGTGTCGGTTTTATGTTGGCGAGGCCGCCAGGGTGTAGAACTGAGCAATGAGGCAGTCACAGTCGCAGGTGCTGTTATTGGGAACTAGTTCAATAGAAGCGTTGACTTTGTTATTGATAGCTGGGGCAGAAAGAGTGTTCTAGCTAGAGAATTTGGGTTGACTATATACTGGGTGATTAGGAAGGAGTTGCGGTAATCGGTCATGGACCGATTACTGTGATTTAATGATAATCGTAGTAATCGCGTGTAAGTGAGAGTGACGTTGATGAGTAAGGAAAAAATGTGGAGTGCACGTGAAGGTTGCATAACGGGCCGTAACAGTATTCCACCACTAAGCTGAGGACGTCGACGGATTTGCTCACCAAATTCCACGACTGCATTCCCCGTTAGGCTCCAAAAGAGCCCTACTGTCACGAGGCAGATTCAGGAGGGACAGGTGGGCGGGGACACGGCGGGTTGAATCAGTCTATTGCTACGGGCAGGCACTGCCAAGGTAGGTCACGCTCTGGATACAAGACGTAGCTCAAGGAGCTACGTTCAGGAGTGAAGCTATCTACCGGCCATATACAATCTTGTGGATTAGTCATACAGGTCAGGGCTCCCTGGTGGAGCCCGGCATCTGGAGCGGGCCCGGTCTAGGGTAACCAAGGGGGCTTCTTGGTGTAACGGTTGTGCCAAATCGCTCAACCACGGAGCAAAAGATTAGTTAATGATTATAATGGTTACAATCATTATGTCACGCAATAGCTCTTTTAAGCATTAACGGTGAACCAGGCCGTAACACGTGGTGTCCACGGCGTCGCGCCGTGACACACAACACGCATCACATCATTCGTCAAAAATCCCATATCCTCTTGGCAGAATAAAAAAATTTGGCGACCCATAACCATTTACTGTATTTTTCTATTTTTACCCATTTCACCTTCCTTTCCCTTCCCTACACTTTCCAACACCCTAAAACACATCACCTCATCTCTCACCACCTATCTTCCTCTCCTTTCTTCGCCCATAAAAATTCTTACCCATAGAAGAAAAAATCTAAAGACATAAGAAGGCTGAAAAAGTCTGTACAAGCGTAGATTTCTTGGTTCTTGGTCGCCGTTGCCTTGCATCGGGTGACCTATTGCATCTAAGGGAAAGCCGAGAGATAATCTTCTAGGCGAAGAACTTCACAGCCTTCCTGGCGGCACGTTTGCCGAAGCCACCGAAGTTGCCGCCACCGAAGTTGCCGCCACCGAAAGCGTTGCTGTTTCCACCGTTGTTGTTGTTGTTGTTGTTGTTGTTCTGGTTACCATTGTTGTCATTGTTGTCATCGCTGTTACCAGTCTGCTGAGCTTCGCTGGCCGAATCTGTGGCCGTTGGGTTTCCAGTGGTCAGTGCCGCGATCGCACTAGCACCGGCGTTGCCATCCGCGGCGCCAGCAGCCTGGTTTGCCGCGAGCGCTGCGGACAGGTCATCCTTGTTTACTTGGATCTGCTCACTGATGTCCTCGAGGGACTGCTTGGTGTCGACACCGGCGGCCGTCTCGTTCGTGCGCCCTTCGTTGTCGGTTTGTTGGACAGCAACGCAGCCACCGAAAGGACCGGCGAGGGCGTTGTTGCGGCAGCGGACGGTGCAGATGTTACCGGTGGAGGCTAGGAGGGGTTGTTAGTGGATGCGGAGTGGATGTGGAGTGGGCGGGGGTGGGTCACGTACCTCCGATGCAGTCCAGGTCGTCGGGCATCTGAACCTCGATGGTGAAGTTCTTCTCCTTGGCTTGGGAGAGACCGTTCTCGCCGGGGATGTTATTGGTGACCTTGAGAGGAGTAAAAGTACCGGAGTTGCTGGTCATGTCGATATCGCACTCGTAAGGACCGGCACCGTCGGCATTCACTTGGTGAATGGTGACTTCCATGGTGGAGCCAGATTGAACAGATGTTATTCTGTTGGCGGCAATCTCGTTCTCGGTCTGCTCCCCGATGTCGATGTTGCCGCTGAGCTCCGTACGACCACAACCGTTGACAATGTTTTGCTTGATCTCGGCATCACGAATGATGGTGCTGTCGAGCTGGCAAGGGCTGATCTCTGTGCAGTTACGAGGAAGAGCATCGTTGACTAAGGGGAATGAGTATGAGAAGATGGAAGTCTGAAGGTCTTTGGTGAGAGGAACTTACGAAGGAAACCTTGACTCTCGCCCTTGTCTCCCTGGGCCTTGAGGATCACACCGTGAGAGTGAACGGATGCGATGAGGGCGATGAAAGGAAGGATAGAAGATGAGTAATACATATTGAAGAATATAAAGCACGACCAGCGTGAAAATTATGCTTTAAAAAAAATAAAAGTGTAAAAGAAAGACTCCACAGGAGGTTCAAAGAAGGTGAATGGGATGGTTGAATGGGTGAAGAGCATAATGGTGGAGTGAGGGACTTGTATTTGTATGAGGAGCTGGATAGCACTACCTACTACCGAAAGGCCGACCATCTGCTATAGAAAGGAGGACCTGTACCGCGAAGAGAGACTGTCAAACCGAACTGCAACAATAGTGGGGACGGAGTAAGGTTAGAATCTGGTCTGAATTGAGCGGCAGGGGACCGCGGGAGTCCTGAAACGGAAGGCAATGATACTCCTGGGAGATCTCATGTGAGAGGAGGCTAACTGGATGGGGGGCAGCTCGAGTCGGTATAAGCACTTGTGGGGGCAAATCTTTCGGGAAGGCCTTCTGATGCCTGCAATTCCCGTAGAGTCGTAGCCTCATGGTGGAGTCGTGCCGGAGTCGTGCACATATCCCCATTCACTCTCCATCCACTCAAACACCATCGAATTCCATGGTGTTTGAAGCTGAGGACCCATGGTGGTGGGAGATGGTGGGAGATAAAACGCCGAGGCCCGCCGAGAGATCCACTGGCATTGCCTTGGCTGGGTTTGAAGATGAAGCCGTGCGTGAATAGTAACATGGTTCGAGGTGAGGCGGATATGCCCCTTTAAGGCCCCTTCACATGTCCAAGTTGCTCCATGTTGCCCTTATCACCAGACGTCGGCGAGGAGGTGTAGCTTTGAAACGCCATCTGCCGGCGTTGCTTGACGTGCGAGGATTAAGACGAGTATGGACGAGTTTGGAAAACCTCCTGTTTTGAAGCACAGGACATGAGGCATGCGGTGTTTGAGCGTGTTGAGACGCGACCTCCCCTGGAAAAACATCGGTCCGCCGCCAGACCTCCCCTTCACCCAATCGACTCCCTCCATCCACTAACCTTCGACATTGGCACGACATTGGCATTACGAAATCGTTGCATTTCTCCCATCAACACGTCCCTTTCTGCAGGTGCGCCTTGGCTGAGATTATGCCTAGAAGGCGCTTCCATCTCACAACACCATCCATCATGCGGTCCTACCAAGCTGCCTCCAAGGGACCGAAGCGCCCGCAATAGAAACATACAAGCGAGTCCGACACGATTACGGATAGACCCAGGGGTTGTTTTTCAGGAATCAGTGCAAGTGCAAGTGACTCACCTCGAAAAAACAGGCGAAGAAACATTGAAGTCCGAGCGAATTCTCGTAAATCATGATTTCCAAGCCTTCTTAGCCTCGACTCTACCTTCTTTTCTATACTAGACTCGGTCGGTCTTCTATTGTTTCCATAATCCCGACCTTCGTTTTTTCGACTTCATGTTTTAAGACTGTCCAGTGTCCTAGTGTCCGTACTCCAAAGGCCGTAACATGGACCAAGGGACCTTTTGCGATGCGAAAGTGTGCCTAATTGATTGACTGAATTGTTTAACGTTATAAGTGTAACGGTTATGCCAAACCGCTCAACTATAGAGCAGAAGATTGGTCAATGATTACAATGGTTGCAATCATTGTGGCACGCAACAGCTCTTTCAAACATCGACGGTGAACCAGGCCGTAACAGATATAGCACGTACCTATGCCACTAAGCCGAATCATTATCCCTACACGCCTAATTAAGAGAGAAGAAGAAAGGGCGTGTATGGAGCAACCAAGGGCTTGTTGTCTTATCAGCACGTCATTCTATGAAATCCAGCGACGAAACTTGGTTTAAGAGGAGCGATGACTATCATATTAATAGATGCTAAGCTAGTTGAACGGAGCAAGATATGGCGATCCGCTGCTGCGGCCGAGAAAGGCGTCTTGTGTGACGTTTGGGTCAACTCTGAGCTGCAGGGTAGACAGAGATGATGTCGTTTTATGTTGGCGAGGCCGTCAGGGCGTCAAACTGAGCAATGAGGCAGTCACAGTCGCAGGTGCTTATATTGGGAACTGGTTCAATAGAAGCGTTGACTATTGTATTGTATTGATAGCTGGGTAGAGAGTGACTGGACTAAGGAAATGAGGTTGACTATATGCTGGGCGATCATTGGCGTGCCCGGGGCGATCGCAATGATCGGGGGTTGTGCGGCCATGATCGCAATGGTGATCATTGTGATCATTTCCCAGAGCAAGTGATCGTGATGATCCCTTTGTTGGTGGTGTAAGTGAACGTTGTGATGAGTAAGGCAGAGAAAAGAAATGTGGGGTGCACGTGAAGGAAGGTCGCATGACGGGCCGTGATATCTTGAGTCACGGCATCGGTCCAAGCGTCGTTGTTGTGAAAAAAACTTAGGTCGTGCTGGGATCACTATATAAGATGGTTCATGCTGATCAGTGTGTTGAGGTGGTCGGCACCTAGCTCTGCGAGCCTCCATCACCTCCACAACCAGCTCCTCGGCCTTGTCCCACCATCCCTGGTTCCAGTCAACGCCAAGTTGGCGATGCTGGGCTTTATGGCGGGAGAGGAGCCTGTGTTAGGAGCTGGAAAGGTACTTGCAGCATCCTAAACCAGCGTCGTGTGCGGAGCCCTCAATCCGCTTCGCTGCGAAGCCGACAAGGCTGCCAGGGGTCCCTTTGGAAGGGCCACGCTCGTCTGCATCTCACCCGTCTCGGCTTTTTTATTTATCGTGCTAGGTGTCAAAATGGGAGCTACAAGACGGCGTGGTATTTACCACTCAAGTCGGATGGCTGTGCTGACATAACCTAGCAGCGGGGTATCACCCATGTAGTCATATGACCGACCGCTTCTACTGCCGTCGCTACCACCGATGGACTATTCCCCCCGCTACATCTTACCCCTCAAACTCTCCACCGCCATGGGCGGGACGAGAAAACCGAAGCAAGCGAAATTATACGAACAACAGATCAGCCAAGTTTTCTAACAATCTCTCCAAGCGGGGACGTATAGCGCAGTGTTTCGGCCAACATCGCCTAGCGCAGAGAACAACGCCAATGCCCATCAACAACTTCCAAGACTCGAAAGGCGAGAGACAGGATGCTCGCGCCTCCGTTGTTCTGAATCATGTCAAGGAGTAGGATCTTAAGCCCCTAAGCTTAGTTTCACTAAATAACATGGTCTAAGAGCATTTAACGATCCACACCTTACGGACGTCAAAATATACCTAGGCTCGTTAGAGTTGCCCGCTCATCGTCTCATTTTAGCAACCCAAAGTGACTACTTCAGGACAGCTTTCCATACTGGTTTTATAGAAAACGTTACGGACGGATTTCGGTTCAACGATGGAAGCCTACAGGCCTATCGGAGGCTGTTCCAGTATATATACACCGGAGCCTACACGGAAGAAAGCCAATCGTCGGTGGATATGCAAGGTACATGCTGCTCTAGGTGAGAGCTATTCCTATTACAGCCGCAACTAACGGATAAGTAGATGACGATGAGCTGCTCAAGGATGTTCGTGTCTACGGCTTGGCAGATTATTTCGGCGTTGAAACACTAAGCGATTACGCGTTTAACCGATTTCAATCGAGAGTCCAGCAACTCTGGATAAGCGAGAAATTCGTCGACTGCATTCGCGAGATATACGAGTCTACGAGCGACCCTAGCTGTAGGATGAGGGAGACTGTGGTAGGGGTGGTACACAAGAACCTACGTCAACTCTGGGGAAGAAAGCCATTTCAGGATCTTCTCCGTGATGGCGGTGAGTTCGTGGCAGACTTGATGGGGAAGATAGTCAATGCAGTTCGATAGTCGTGGATGTCCTCCTATTAATTATGAATGTCCCCACGTTCAGCGCACCTGGTGCGGCGAGATTCATTTTGTGAGCAGTCTGGTGGATACCAGCGATGGAGGATAGTTGGAGGAACGAATGATGGAAAGTGGTGAAATAAAGCGAGATTTTTTTGAAACATGATCTGCTATCAATAGTGCACTCGCGAAGAATCCAAAAGATGCTTCTCCGTCTAGTCCTTGTCACGGCCAGAAACGATAGACAACGATTCACCTTCTGTCGATCAACCCCATGACCAGGGATACTCCGCTTTTTCCGTCGACCACGACCCATGCTGCCTGTGGTTCTGAATGGATCACCAGCACGTCGTGATCCTTGGTCCACCACCTCACTACGATGCAGTGAGCCATAATGGGATCACCCACTCACTACGACCCTGTGAAGCTCTGCAAGTACCCGATTACCGCTAAACACTCTTTCCACTTCGCCTCGCTATTGACGCGGAAGTGAACGCTTTTCTTGAACCAGTTACCAAAATCAGGTACCTGCGACTGTGACCATCGTCTCACCATCGTGAAAAGATCACCTCTTCTGCCTACGCCTTAACTAGAACTGAACCAAACGTCAGTCTACGCCATGTAAGGACGTGATGATGACGCAAGAAAGGTCGAGCTGCTCTGTACACGCCCTTTCCTCCTCTCTTATCTACTTGCGTGTAGGATATACGATCCGGTCGTAGTAGAACAGATAGCGTGCTGTATCCCACAGGGGTAGCTTGCGAATAAAGGTCAGAGCTCACTCTATGTCGAGACCTGAATCGCATGTACGTGGGCAGTGATAACCATCATTCAACTCAAATGCCCAGTACACGATCCATTCTATTTGCCTCTGATGTGAGCTTGTTCTAGGCGTCAGGCATGTGGCCACTTTAGCGCGATCCTAATGGGGGGCCGCGAGACCTTGGTCCCCACGTCCCCTGTCCTCAGCCTGATCACCGGCTTGAGGCTCACATGGTTGCTCGTGATATGCGTGAGCACGAAAAGAAGGCCCGTCGTGAGGGTCGTGACCAGAGGGGGACCAGCTGGGGACCAGCTGGGGAACATGAGACCCGCTCTTAGGTTGGGTTGTTTTCCCCGAATTCTAGACTTGGTCTTTATAATCTTCGTCGAGGGGAGAAACAGGCAATTTCTTTACTCATAAGACAAACCCCCTAGCTGCCAAGTTAGCGAATGAATGGATGCTTGCACGCGAACTTGTCGGTAGGATTTTGCAGCATCCGACTTTGTTCCTACTCTTGATGCAGAAACAAAGCACGTTGGAAACTATAGAGTGACCAAACGGTCATCATCTATACACTTCACGCTCACATGCCTCCGCCTTTGCTGGCCTCACTCCACCCGTTATTCCCAGTCGGGCCATGCCATGACCCTCCTCAAAGGAGAAAATTCACCCACTCGCTCGCTAGAAAGATGCCATGGCGGGTAGGATGAGGGCCCGGAGGTCTGGATACCACTCGCTTATCTACTCCCCTCTTGATATCGAGCCAAAAGTGTTCGGCTTGCTTTGGTGCCGACATGGTTGTGGATGTTGGTCTACCAGTGACATGCCGAATGGTAGGCATGCTGTTAATATTGCAGGGGAGCCTTAGGGCCGCTAGCGGAGCGCCAAGGCGAGACATGGTAGATCCCAGCTACGAGATCTCCTGGTCCGGTTTGTGACTTTTCGGTGTCCACATGTGACGTTGGGGTCAACTCTGAGCTATAGGGTAGACAGAGATGATGTCGTTGTATATTGGCGAGACAGTTAGGATGTCGAACTAAGCAATGAGGCAGTTATAGTCGCAGGTGCTACTACTAAAAGGAACTAGGGTCTTAGAAGAAGCGTTAACTATGTTATTGATAGCTAGGTAGAGAGTGACTAGGCTATGAAAATGGGGTAAACTACATACTAGATTTATATCCCTTAGATCGTAGTGAGCTTCGGTATAGATCGTGGTCATCTATCTAGGGATCACGGTGAGCCACGTAGGGGATCACTATAATCTAGAACGGGGTAGTTGTTTATAAGTGAATGTAAGGGTGATAAGTAAGAAAAAATGTAGGGTACACGTAAAGGCCGCATAACGGGTCGTAATATAATGCCCCTCTTCTAAAGGATCTTGTCTCAAGATTTAGCATAAGCATCTATATTTTCCTCGTCTATGAGTCCTTCCTCTATTCACTGTTCCTTCATTATATCTAACTGTATATCTATGTATTCCTCCATAGATTAGGTAAGTAGGACTGGACCATAATAACGTCGGATCCGTCCCTTCTAGCATAGACAAGAACAACAACCAATACACATATCAACAACCTGCAGACCACAAGGCATACCAAACGAGAAGGGCACGCCTCTTTTTGTGAGACGAGAGTCAAGCCGTCGCAGCCACCATCGACGCGGCTCTGATCAAGGCAATAATCATCAATACTATAATAGTTAGAGATAAATCGAGAAAGTCTCAAAAGGGCAGCTAAAAGAGTAGGTAAGTCCGTGGTCAAGAGGGTGGTGGGTAAAAGGGCGTTTAACGCCGTCAATTATTACAAAATCTAGAATTCTAACAATCCAACGCATGTTCATCGCTGCCCAGGGGCCTGATCTTGGACGTCATAGGCGAAGCACCTACGACTATATACTACACTCTATCTATCATGCGCTGCCTCTCCCTCCCTCCCTCACTCCTTCAAAAGTATCTCGGGATCGAAGTGAGGCGACAGAAACCAGTATGCCTATGCGTATCATCAGAGATGCCCGATGCCCGACTGGAAGCCCAAGGCGCGCCCAATCCAGCCGCTCTGGGGGCTAATCATGATGGCAACGCGTTGCAAACACCGGCAAGTGACCAAGTTTTTTCCAAGGCCGTGCGGCGCAGCAGCCTGCCGCCCCAGAAATGTGCACATTTGAAAGAAAGTGCAAGTATTGAAACCTGACGGGGAGCCGGCATACGGACATGGCGCCTCGGGGCGCGATGGCCTAATATGCCGCATCGACGCTGCGTCTTCTAAGTACTAGGAGGTACGATCTTGATTCTGATGTGGGCACTTCTACCAGCAAGCGAGGACCGACCCATCTGAGAAGTTTCGAGCAGAGAATCCAAACATTCCCTACGATCACTCCCGCAAGCAAAAAGTTCCATGTCGAACCCAGAAGATTACTGGGTCGGGTGGGTGTGCGCTACCGCGACCGAGTATGTCGCAGCCCAAGCCTTTCTCGACGACAAGCACGACGGCCTTGCTTCCTACGACAATCAGGACGACAACGTCTACACCCTCGGCCGCATCGGCGTACACAATGTTGTCATCGCGAGCCTGCCTTGTTCCAACTATGGCCTCGTTAGCGCCTCTAGGGTTGCCAAGGACATGATGAGGACATTTAAGAATGTGCGGTTCGGGCTCATGGTCGGCATCGGCGGCGGTTCCCCGACCGCGAAGCAGGATATCCGTCTAGGCGATGTCGTGGTCAGCTCTCATAGCGGCGAGCACGGCGCTGTGCTGCAGTATGACTTTGGCAAGACTTTACAGGGACGGGATTTCAAAATCACCGGCCACCAAAACGCCCCCCCAACGATACTCCAGGCAGCTATCCAGGCTGTCAAGGCCGAATACCAGATGCAAGGTAACCGGATTCACGAGCTTGTCGAAAATGTCCTGAGCAAGTACCCTCGCTTGCGCAAGAAGTACCAACGTCCCGACCCTGCGACGGATCGCTTGGTTCGGAGCGACAGTGTTCACGTGGGGGGTTCCGACGGGAAGTGCCCATCCTGTAATGGGCTTGGGGACGCGACCCTCGTACCGCGGAAGCCAAGAGGTGAAGACGAGGACAATCCCAAGGTGCATTACGGCCTGATCGCCTCCGCCAACCAGGTCATGAAAGACGCCCTAGTGCGCGACCGCCTAGCAGAAGAGAAGGGCGTGCTCTGCTTCGAGATGGAGACGGCCGGTCTGATGAACCAGTTCAAGTGTCTGGTCATCCGAGGCATATGCGACTATTCCGACTCGCACAAGAGCGAGGACTGGCGGGGCTACGCGGCCATTGTAGCGGCAGCGTATGCAAAAGACCTTCTCAGAAATGTGCCCCTTAGAGAGGTGCAAGCGGAGAGCAAGGCTATTCAGGATAGTGAGTCATCTAACAGCTGGTAACCACATGCAGTCAATCGATACACGCACAATTCTCGAGACACGGACTAACAGGTACAAAGCCTACAGGGATGTGCTGGATATTCGGGCACAGACACAGCAAGCCAACTTGCATAGAAGATCAGACGATACAAGCGGATGGTTACTACTTCCCGAACCATCGGCCAACTATGCAAGGGCCCTGGGCCGGCGCCACGAGAACACGGGTCAGTGGTTCCTAGACAGCAACTAATTTGCATTGTGGAAGGGAGAAGCTCACCGGTTCATCTGGTTGAACGGCAAGCCGGGTTGCGGAAAGATCACCCTCAGCTCAACCATTATAAGCATCTGGAGCAGGCCCACACAGGAACGCAGCCTCTCCCCTATTTCTCCTCTGACTTTAGCGACACGGCGAAACAGACCGTCGAGAGTATGGTGCGGTCTCTCGTCAACCAACTATATCGCCAGGCACCAGGAGTCAGGCCGCTGCCAGACTCACTGTACGCTTCTTGTGAGAGTCGCGAATCCCAGCCGCTGCTCGACTCGCTCAAATCAACTCTCTACGCTATGCTCAAGTCGGCCAGGAATGTGCGGATTGTGCTCGATGCGCTCGACGAGTGCTCAACGAGGAGAGAGATGCTTGACTTTCTTGACTGGATCCACGGTTCCCATCAGAATCTCGAGGTGTGTTTGATAGCGACTAACCGTCCGGATCAGGCAATCGAAGCCAGCATTCGATCCTGGACTGCTGAATCGTCCATAATCCTGCTCTAGACCGAACTCGTCGACAGGGACATACGCCAGGTACATCCACGCAAGGGTGCACACAGATCCCGGGCTGAGTCGATGGATTGTAAGGCCAAAGGTCCGGGAGGAGATCAAGTCGGCGCTGTGGAAGGGAAAGCGGATGGCGTGTGAGCTTGTTATATAGATATAAGAGGAGATGTATCTGTTGATACATTTATATATATATATATATATATTTATATTTACTTATATACATAGGTTCCGGGGGGGGGGGGGGGGTGGCATGCCAACTCTAGGAGCTAGCCACGTGCTGTCGTCTTGATGAACTTCGGCAGGCGTTGCAACAGCTGCCAGAGTCACTAGATGAGACGTACGACCGGATTCTGAAGCGGATCCCTAAGAAGAACCTGCCTACAGCGAAGCGCATTCTGCAGTTTCTAACGTATTCAGGACGCCCGCTGAATGTTGGCGAGCTCGGGGATGCGGTTATGGTATCCCTTACGAATGACCCTGGATTCGACATGGACAATCGATTACCTGTACCGGATGAGATAACATGCTACTGCTCCAGCCTGGTAATCATGGCACCAGCAATCTGTGGGCACGAGAAGAAGAAGCTCCAGCTATCCCACTTTTCGGTGAAAGAATGGCTTGTATCGGATCGACTGCATGCCACGTTTACCAGGGACTTTGAGAAGACTCATGACCATGCAGCCTCGACACAAGTCTGCATGACCATCTATTCAACCTTCCTCATCACTGGCCAGTAGAGGAAATCACCAGCCGATACCACCTCGCAGGCTACGCAGCAGAGTTCTGGGCAGATCATATAGCCATCGGCGAAGGAGCAGCAGAAATTGTCACGACGGTGGCAATGCAAATTCTAACGAGCAGGGAGGTGTACCAACTGCGGCACAGGCTCTCCGCCTACATCGCCAGGAGTTGCGGCCTACAGGCTCACCGGCAGGAACATCCATCATGTTCTGCGGCGCGTAAGAGCTTGAAAAATCTCGCGAAGCTACTTCTCGGAAAAGGGCGCCAACATGGAGGGGACACTAAAGCATTGTAAAGCTGCTACTCGATAAGGGTGCCGACGTCAACGCCCCGGGCGGACGCTACACTGATGCCCTTCACGCTCCGTCGTTCTAGTGAAACGAAGGCCTCGTGAAGCTACTGCTCAACAACGGCGCCAACGTCAATTCTCAGGGCAAACGCTACTAGAATGCCCTATATACTGCGTCGTTAGGGGGATACGAAGGCATCGTAAAGGTACCTCTCGATGAGGGCGCCGACGTCAACTTGGAGGACGAAGATGGGTGGACATCATCTTGGTTGTCAGCAAACAATGGACGTGAGTCTGCGGTCATGCGTCTGCTTGAGAATGGAGCGGATTCGACGATTCCGAACCACGACGGCCGATTGCCCCTCCACCGAGCTGTAATAAATGGCCGAAGCTCTCCTTGCGAATTCCTCGTCATCGATGGAATCCGAAGATCATGAGGGTCACACTCCGCAACTGCTGGCCGCGTAGACGTCACGGAGACAGATTGGTACGTTGCTCATTCAACGTGGTGCAGCTGTTCCGGAACCTGCGAAGAATCCCATCCTCTTTCGGGATGCATTCGATCGGGACGAATGGCCTGATGAACAATTGATTAGTAGCCATGGTCGAGAAGATTGATAGTACTGCTTTGGGACTGGAATCCCTATTTCTCCGTCGTCTACTGATACTGATGACCGACGCCGTGTGGAAGTGTTGGGGTCACAAAGTTGTATCGCCGATACAGCTGTAGACATGTTCACAAGTAAAAGCATGATATTTGGAGGAACAAAACTGAAGTATATCTATTTCCTGAAAAGGTTACGAATCGTGACTCAAGTTTATGCACGTAGCCGAATTTTTTATAAGGTAATCAGAGAGCTGCGTCCATGGCAGCGTCATACACAACATTCCAAAATCTTGGGGGGGGGGGGGGGGGAATGGGTTTCTATTTTTTAAAATTTTTTAAAAATTTTTTTTGCAGCATTGGTCCATCTGTGCAGAGGGTGTAGCCGTAGACTCGACCAATATTTATGCAAGGTCTAAGCGATTCTGTGGTTGTGTTGTGCGTCGGCGTTACCTTCCTAAAGGGGTCACCACGCAGATCACACCTGTCAGTGTGAGGCTGCGAATAACCCGAAAGCGGAAGGATAACTTGATATCCTGTAGTAGCAAGAAGATGAGGCTTCCTGCAATGATCTAGCTAATGTGAGAGAATGTGCACGTCCGGCGGATTGTTCCGCCGGACCCACCTGAGGAACAAGGCCAAACATATCGGCGCACGTCACTCACTTGCTGCATACTCATCACCCCGAAAGCCTTCCTCTTGCCTTCTTCACAGGCAGCATCACTCCGGCAGCGTCCTGGTATCCCGGCGTCCTGGTATCCCGGTAAACGTCGCCATGTCTACTCCTACCCCTCGAGAGGCTGAGTTGATCAGGCAGTTGGAAGCGGCCGAGGCACGTTTAAAATTATCGGAGGCACGTGAAGAAGAGCAGAGACGTCAGAGAGAAGCAGCTGAGGCACGCGAAGAGGAGGAAAGACGCGGCAGGCAAGCCGCTGAACAACAAATCGAACCATCCACCTTCCGTCAGCTTCTTGACTTGGCCGAGACGGAGCTATTTCAGCAGCTCAAGATCACACAGCCAAGCTCAGGCCAGTTAGGAGGAACCGCCAAGACCACGGGGAAGCTTCGGCCAGTTACACTACGGCCATGGGACGCTTTTACTAGCATCCATCAATCCAGGTTCGCCCAGCTAGAGGGCACCTTTAGACAGGAGAAACCCTTCCCATCGCTACATCATATGAAGTCTACTAGGGAGGAGATGAGCTCTGGTGGGCTTAGGAACGAGGATGATCTCCGCGATTTCATTATGACTGCCATCGAGAGACCGGCCAAGAGCATCATCAGGCGCTTCTACGACAAGACGCTTCCGGATCCACAGCGCGTCACGTTTCGCAACGCTGCCATCGGCCTATCCGAGACGCCGGATGACGAGGTCCGCGTGGAGGATGATGGACCACCGCCGTCTAAGAAACGGTCGCCGTCAAAATCCCGGTCGCCAGTGAAGAAGGTCTCCCCAGACCGCTGGGGTGTGCTAGTCAGAGAGAAGGATCTCACCGAGACGAACTGCTTTGTTGGTGGGTGCAAAGCTGCCCATAAGCTGACCGCGACTATGATACAAACTATCCTAGGGACGCACCCAGGCGACGATTTCTTCCGGCAGGTCCAGTGGAGAAGTCAAGCGCGCTCCACTCGAGGTTAAGGGGCAGTACCACGCCTAGACCGAAGCCGGACAATACGGCGTCATCCGCTAACCCGCCCCGCACTGGCTCCCCGGGCCCGGCCGTCAAAGGGGACACGGTTGTCGCCATGGTTCTGTGCCAGACATACCACTACATGATACATTCTGGGCTGCTGTGCAGCTGCGTCGCCTCTGGTGGTGCTCTGATATTCCTGCACGTCTCCACCGAGGAACCCGAGGTCCTGTTCTACTTTCCGGTCCTGTTTCACCAGGACCAGGGACGGCCACGACAATCAGACCAAACGGCGGTCGCGTAAACTGGAAATGGAGATGCAGATGCCCAGCCCCTAGTAGGTAATGATAGTACGGAGTAGTGGGTCCAAGTAACTGTCAGCCTCCTCTTCACATGTCGGCCCTCTCCCCTACATCTGTTCCCTTAAAGGCCAGGAATGGCCAGAAGGGAAAGACGGTTGGCGGGGAAGAAATCCGCTCTGGGGGTCAACGCTGACCCCCAGAGTGGATACTCAGAGTCGACCAATGACGTCTGCCACGTTCGGTAGCGGAGATGGCCGAGTCGATGTATCATGTAGATAGGTCGGAAGGAAAGGGACCATCGCTGTACATATCTGTACAGATTACAATGTTGGGGGGAAGCACTTGTCTTAGCTGCCCCCTTTCTAGAAGAACCACGGCGGGGTGGCCCCGCAGCCAACGACACCTTAGTCCGGCGCACACCCGGCCGTGTGCCGATTCATGACTAGGGATGGACTTTCTCCTACTAAGGAAACTTGGTTGTTTTTTCGGGCCCCTACAATCTTCACTTCCCGATCAGGACCTCTCAACCTCTTATAGTATTGTCATACCCTTCCGCCGTCATGGTGGTCGGGAAAGTAGAGCTGTCCTGTATAGTGTCTTAGTAGGGACCGTGTCATACTCTTACCGCGTATCTCATCCATGGCTTAGGTAAGCAGGGCTCGACCACGATCACGTCCGAATCCGTCCCTCCTAAGGCATAGACATTAGCAACCCGAAGAACACAGACACACACAACAGCCAAGAATACACACAACCGGCAGACCACAAGACATACTAAGAGAGAACATCCCTCTTTTTTTTGTGTGACAAGTACCGCACTGATGAACGACCTGCGTGGTACGGCCTTCACGCTTGGCATACGAGTCGTACAGAATTATTACATCCAAGAGATCGATCCAGAAGCTACCCCCCCCCCAAAAAAAAAAGCCTCCCTGGTGTGCACAGATGATACATATTATACAGACGAGAGCAACGTAATCACGTACCTGGCCCTCAAAAAGAGGGTCCGTATGACATGCTACCATCGTCGTTAAGAGGGAGAAGGTGTAGGGGCTTCTTGCCCTCCCGCCCGGAGAGGCTCTGATGATGATGGGCTTGCCGGTACCGGATCGATTCCCGTTGCTGCGAAATGCCATCCCCTACCATCTTCTTGCGAAGCTGACCTTCTGGGGAGCCGGCCTAGTGCATGGCCGATATCAGAAGAGCCCTGTAGAGGAGTGAAGGTGTCAACGCCAGGAAGTCGGCCCCTTGGATGATGTTTCCTTATCGACATTGATAAACCCTGAAGAGATGGCTGATGGTGGATTTGGTTCTGAGAACAGTCTCCTCTGGGCTCGGTGTTTCCCTGAATACATCGTTTCCAGACTTGGTCTCATCGTCATCGGCAGCAGGTGACACCGATCGATCTGGACGGCTGCCGTCCAAGACGGTCAAGGCTGTGCGTACCGGGGGGCCATGCCAGTATCACGGGTCCTCGGATGCGTATGTGGGGCGTCGTGTGTGCATAGATATTCGCCTACCTCCTTCCAATGGCACGCTTGGCTCTCTCTAGCTCCGAGGCAACGCTCTCTCGCATCAGGGGCCCGTCTCTCAGCCGGGAGCCGAGCGAGTCTGCCGAGCCTGGCGCTTGCAAGGCTCCCAGGTTCGATGGCCCGTACCTTGACCCGAGCTCTCTCATCCTCAACTGCCATGTTCAGACCATCATCTTCTCGCTCGGCGCCCGCAGTGAAGTATTGTCTGCTCAAGAAATTACTATGCATTGCTTGGGAAAGGGAAGAAGAGATTTTGCGGCCGTCGGCATCTGTCGAATTCCTCCCTTTTCCACTGTTGAAGGAAGTTGGAAGAGAGCAGATCGCAGCCTCAAGCTCGGCAAGGGACGCGTCTGAGGATTCGGAGTGACCAGTTCATAAGTATCCCCATGGTTTACGGACGGATACATTCCGTCCTTTCCACGCCGAAAATCCACAAAGCCGCTAGATTGAACACAGCGCCACATCCCTTCCGTGAGCGCACGCCGTCTTTCGGCGTTTTCTAACCAGACAACCTGGATGAATAGTCGCCGCTCTGGATCTACCGGATACCGTATAGGGCGCAAAGCAAACTTGAACCGATCAAAGAGTGCGTGAGCTGTCGGGGTAAGCGGAAGTACGTTGGTTACCTCGGCGCACTGTAGTGCCATTCTGTCGAGTTGCGGCAGGTTCCAAAAGCGACGAAGCAACATCCAGATAGTATGCAAATCTCTCATTCTTGTCGCTCGTACCGGCACTATATGTGCGCCGTGCGGGTGGACAGTCCAGGTAAGGAAGCACCTTCTAGAATGCCAACGAGGAACCGTTGTTTGGGCGTATATGTCTGCCAGGCTGCGTGTTCTGTGCTGCGGCTCTTGGTGAGGGTTATCGGCCGCGCTCGGCTGATAGTCATTCGTCCAGGCACGCGGTGACCAGGTTATAGAGATGTCCTCTAGACTCTTGATTAGACCCTGGACGCAATAAAAAAACATATCCTCCTCGTCTCCATCGCCATCCGTATCAGGCCTCAGACTCTTGAATGAGGAAGCGGGATCGTGTACGGCCGCGAGAGCGCCGTATATATAGGCTTTGTCGTTCGCCCATCTGGCTAGTCCTTGGCCTCGTCTATAGTCTTCATCGTCGAGTTCTCGAGCCTGTTGCTCTAGCTCAACGTTTTCTCAGCTGTTTACACCTTCCTTGCCAAAGGTGCCCCGGTGTGACGTAAGGTTTAACTCTAAGCTGTTGATTCAGAGTCTATGGGGAAAAGCGACCAGCCACCACAGCCACCGGTAGTAGTTGAAGATCGATAGAGACACGTGTGGATATTAGGACGCATTGATAAGGTGTCATACTCTTCGTCGTGTGTGTCTGGCATAAAAGCAGATCTATCCTCGTGTTGTGTTCCGACAAGGACTATATCGACTTTAGCTACGTAGGCGTCAAGGTCGACATATAAACAAGACCGCGTGTAAGGAACGAAGGCGTGCGGTAGAGTGTTTAGAAAATAAGGTTAGTATTCGGGTATAGTCAGATAATAAGACGTGTTTATAAGAACACAACTATATGGACACGTCTAATACCCATTCAAGGTAGGTTAGGTGTTTAGTGGTGTGTTGAGGTTCTTCTTATTCTATATTAATAATTATTGTGGTGTCGGACTCGACGGTTTTATGATCGAGTCCTGCTTGATAATGTGATTTACTATGACAACTATTAGTACTAGACGGGGGTCTCACTGAATAGTAACCACCATCACCAAGTCCACTTCCTTTCTGCGATTCCTCCCCGGCCTTCTATTTAAAATCTCCTCCATTCTCTCTCTCCATCCGTGCCTCCTCACGACTCATATCCGCAAGACAGTCACTGTCACACTCTTGTGCCACAACACCCGCAGGTGTAGGGGCTCCACAGGACCATGGCGCCACAACGCCACACGCTATAGTGATGGATAACCTTGATAACATTCTGATCTCCCTAAGAAACATCACCGTTATGTGATAGAGGGGCAGGAGAGGAATACATAAAAGAAAGGAATCTCTTCCTAGAGGCAAGGAGGGAGTAAGGTTCAGTCTTGAATCAAACCACAACCCACGCTGAACGTCTGCCTTACTTCCCTATGGTGAACCCATGAGAAACCCGTGACAGTTACCAACTCTAGAACAGCATTGTAATGTCAAGGTTTACCGTACCGTATTTCGAGACATACAGTTTCAAGTATAAATGCCATGGAACTCAGAGCCACACCTTCTTTCTGCTGTATATATCTCTCCCATCGTCGGGAAAGAAGTCGCCTTGCAAACCCACCTGTTCTTATTCCAAGACATCCACTCACCCACATCTCACGCTTACGGCCACCGAGCTTTACACGGAGCGCAAAGAGGCACTATTCAAGGACAGAGAACCGTACAGAGGTAAAATGCCCCGGCTAAATTTCCATCCCGCGGTGGAGCCTATGAAGACTCGCTGGGTCCCTCGCCCCTCAACGCGGGCGCAATCCCTGCAGTCCCACGAGCGTTGCGCCATACGCCTGATGCACAGGAGAAAAAGAGAGCCGCGACGCCTACATTACTACTCTCGGGATCCTGACAAGCTGTGGGGCCGGCTCAATGCGAATTTCTCGGACGTGTATGGCATCCTAGAGTCCGAGTCCGAATTCCGGAAGGGTGGCTACATGCCCGTCCACCTAGGGGACGAGATAGGCGACGACGGGCGCTACCGCGTCATCCACAAGCTCGGCTTCGGCTCATCGGGGGCCGTCTGGCTGTGCCGGGACCTGCGGCCCGGGCCGCAAGACGTGCCAGAAGGAACCACTCACTACGTCGCCGTCAAGATTCTCATGGCCTGCCCACTCGCAGACGTCGAGAAGCAGGCCATCTACCACGTCAGGGACCGGCTACTCCGCTCTACGAGCGGCTCCCCACCCCCCAGCCCTGGTTTTGAGAGACATCTATGCCTCCCCCTCCGGGAATTTACCTGCCAGAGCCCAAACGGCACGCACATTTGCCTGGTGTACCCCGTTCTGGGCCCTCCGGCAAGTGAAGCCCTGAGTATCTTCTATCCACATCAAAAGATGGATGAGAAGGAGCATGAAAGGGATGAAGGGCCTTTGCTGCCACCTCTTCGGAAACAAGATGACGACGACGACGACGACGAAGAGGAAGAGGAAGAGGAAGAAGAGGAAGGGGGACGATGTGTTGGAGCCCACCCCTTTCAGGATATATTCCAAGAAACGGCCGAGGCTCTTGCCTTGCTTCACCGCCATGGAATATGCCACGGAAGTAAGAGGGACCCTTGATTCCGTTTCTTCAGTCTCAGATCAGGCTGCTCATCTTCGTCAATCTACTAACTACATCCCCCTCCCCCCTTAGATATTCAGCCATTCAATGTCCTATTAGAGCTCATCAATCTCGATGGACTAGAGGAGGACGAGGTGCTAGAGCTTCTCGGGCAGCCCGACACTGAGGCCATGGTGATATTGGAGGATGCAGGACTGACTCCAGAGATCCCAGGCGCTCCACGCTACCTCGTCTATTCGGTCGACTGGCCCCTCGTCAACCCAGCCATTATATCAACGAGATCGCGCCTTATAGCTTTTGGAAACTCTTTTTTTGCTGATAGCGATGATGGGACTCCCGATTTCATGAGAAGGAAAAGGTATAAATGGCCCTGGGGAGTCCCCTGCTACGCGCCAGAGATGATCTACAGCAGGGACCGCCGCACGGCCGTGGCCGATACCAGCAGCAGCACCACTGCCATAGACCTCTGGTCTCTGGGCTGCATGCTATACGAGATTCGCTTCGCCCAGCCGCTTTTCCACATCAGAGAGCAATTGTCGTATCGCTACACGACCGTTAATTATGAATGGCATTTTACCGGTGAAGTCTTTCTTCTGCTAGGCAAGCTGCCGAATCCTTACCCATGGTATGATTTCGACGAAGATCTACAATCCATACAGCCTGGAAATGACTATGCGTCTACCGCCGCCCTCGTCGCTGATGCTGCTTCGTCTACCAACGACGGGACGGACAACAACGACGAAAGGGAAAGACTCCACCGTTTCTACTCCATCCGAAAAAGAGTCTGCCGGTGCCACGGATGTCCTCTTATGTCAGTCACGAACTCCCGTTGCCCTCGCCGGCAGTCCTGGCTCATATGCGATGATGAAGCCGAGACCTTGGCGGACCTGATTGAGAGACTGCTGAGGTTCAGGCCGGAGGACCGACTGTCCGCAGAGGGTGCCCTGAAGCATGATTGGTTGGCGGTCAAGTACGAGTGTTCTTTGGAACGCGACTGACTGGAGGGGGCTGTAGCCTACGAGTGAGAAGGAGAACCTTGGGAAAGGGCGGGGGGGGGAGTTGTGGCCTACGGGTGAGGAAGGAGGAAGGAAGAACAAGAACTTAGGGAAAGAGCGCGCGGGGGGGGGGGGGGGGTAGGGTAGGGTAGGGTAGGGTAGAAAAGGGGTTTTCCGCTCGGCAAAATGAAGCAACATGTTACTCTTTAACATCGCATACCCCAAATCTAAATATTTGCATCGTCAGCCATCCTGTCTTTTCTCTTGATTCTTTTGAACACGCAACCTGCGAGATGGGCCGCAAAGGTAGGAGTCGCCAACCTGACGGTGGGTCGGGGCCAAACACGTCTTTGCTGGTAAGGCAAAAAACAACGCCGCGAGGGTCTTGGAAGACCATGTCCACTACCGACGGTGCTGGGACCAAGGATGACCCTGTGGTAAGCCTTGAGCAATGTATATATGTTACTGCCCAAAAGTTGCTCAACTGACACACACGAGCAGATCCACTGGTACATCGTCCAACCGTTGGACAGGATCGCCGAATTGTACAAGAAGGTGGTTCGCACAGCCGCCGCGAAGACAGGCTTCGGTGTCTGGTATGTGAGGTTTGTGACCCTCTGATCCTTCAAGTGTGTTTGAATCCTGTATATTAATATGGAAGTAGAAACGAGGTTAAACCCAAGACTCGAGGCAAACGGCACGAGGACGACGACCCTATGTACTTTGGACACTTGATCAGTTTCGCCGACAAGGAGCCAGGGGGGGATCTTTCTGAGCCGCACGACTTCCTCGCGTACTTGTAGGTGGAGTTAGTGGACGGGAACCGGCCATACCAACCGGTGCGTTTCCTGACGCTAGAAGAGTTGAGGTAGAACTTCGTCGATAATCCTGCTCCTATACAGCTGTGGACACCTTTTACGAGGGCCTTGGTTTGCCATACAATGGGACCAGAGTACTATGAGGAGTACAACCAGCCTGCCACCACCGTCGACACTACCGATGCTACTGCCGCTACCGACGTGGCGAGAGACCAGGAGGCCGTTTCCTTTAGAGGGGACCCGGGCTCTGGTCAGCCTCTGGACGATGCCGGGCCCCAGGGCCAGGGCAAAAAGCGCTAGGGTGGGCCAAAGAGAAAGCACAGCTCGGAAGAGGGTGCGGCAGAGACGCCAACTTCATAGCAGCGGACCGGAATAACCCATTTCGGTAACTTACTCAACTGTTTGTTCCGGCAGATACATTTCTTCTGTAACATCCTTAGTCAGTGACAGCGAATACCCTTACAGGTTGTTCTTTGGCTGTTTTTTCTTTTTTTTCTTTTTCTATCTTTCCCTACTTTTAGACGATATGTGGCCGCTCCCAGTAGATAGATCATAGCCAGCGAGGCCGCCAGCGAGACCGCCAGCATGATGAGGGCGTGGCCAACTTCACCCAATGATATAAACAGAATCATCACCACTTGTCGTAGCGAATAATGCCATAGCTTAGGTAAGCCAGGCTCGACTACAGAACTGTCGAGCCCAGCACCATAATAATGAAGAAGGACAAGAACCTTGACACTCCACGACAAGGTTGACCACCAACGTGCCTGGAAATCAAGCTGGAGACTGCCTACCTATCTGCGTCACGTAAGAATCGGCGAAGGGAAGCGTCGGCCTGCTCTTTCGTCCTGATCTCCGACAGAACACACGAGGAGGTCCGCGACATAATTATCACATGTACAGGATAGACCAGGGCCCCACGCTCATGGGAATAATCACCCTGGACGAGGACGTCCGCAGGAGAGTAAAACGGCCTAGAACTTGCTTCCGGAGCACAAGGGGAGCTTGGCGAGCAGAGTACTACAGATGTATCGCGAAATGTATCATGAGAGGAGAGAGAGAGAGAGAGAGAGAGAGAAACTGACTCCTGGGACATTGTAGTATCGATAATGGCTGGATCTCGAGGCTCATCCGTCCCACCGGTGGGATGTGCAGAATACCTGGCCGCACGGGGGTCCCGGATCCACCCGTCTCGGAGCACGGACGCCGGGTCTCGGGGAGGATCTGTCGGGTCGTTGGGTAACTTGGTGACTTTTTCTTCTTCTAATTTTTTCTTAACCTTTCTCTTCTTTCTCTTTTTCCTTCTTATTTTGTCCGAGCAATGCCGCGCGTCCCACACCAGAGCGTCCGTCATCAACGTCAAGCAAGGAAAATAGGGACCATATAAATGTGCTCACCCTGGTCATTAAACTACGTGTTGAAAGAGATGTATATATATATATATAAAACGCCAATCCTCGCTCGGTCATAAAAAAAAAAAACACAGCAAAGCAAAAAAAAAAAAAAGGGCATAGACACCAGAAAAGGAACTCCGCCAAAACACGTTATACATTCTCCCTCACACCAAGAGGCATTCTCGTACTCTCACCGTCTTTGAACCTCGACACATCACCGCCAATCAACTTGCGCAGGTTGCCCACGTCAAGTAGATACCTCTTCATCTCCTCCTGGAGATCGTCCTCTCCGTAAGCCGTAGTGTCCGAGTCGTAGTACTCGTCGTCCCCGTCCTCATGGATGGAGCGGTTCTCGTCATCCTCGTCCGATAGGACAGAGCCGTCGCCGCCGCTGCCGACCCCCTTGGTGGTGGCAGACTTAGGCGGCGGGACAGCCGGGATGGGGTTCTTGAGGCTGTCGATGGCGAGACGGAGGTGCAGCTTGAGGGCCTCATTCTCCGTCTGGAGCTTCTTGATCTTGCTCTCGGCCACCATTCCGCGCTCCTCCATCATGCGCTGCATCGTGGCCACGCGGGACTGGTACTCGTCCAGACGCTCCTCCGCGTGCTGGGCATTCTTCTCGCGCTGGCGCGAGTCGGAGACGGACAGCTGCAGGCGCTGGATCTCCTCGGCCATGGCGGCGATCTGGGCGTCGCGCTCGGCGGTCGACAGGTGGTCCTGGTTGACGACGGCGCGGGTGCGGATGCGCTTGGCCTGGTCCGCGTAGCGGAGGGTCGACAGGGTCTCGTCGTAGTCCGAGGGCGCGATGCAGGCGATCATGGCCGTCTTGCTGTTGCCGCCCAGCGAGTCCTTGAGGAGCCAGGTCAGGATGGAGTCGCGGTAGGGAACGATGTCCTTGCGCTTGCCCGAGCGCAGAACCTTGGGGTCGGCCAGGGCGGCGATGACTCGGCCCAGAGTGGTGAGCGACTTGTTGATGTTGCTGCCCTCGCGGAGGCGGGCGCCCGTGGCCTCGGTCGACTTGGCGCGCTCGCTGCCCGCCAGGTCCACCAGCCGGATGCGCGAGCTGCGCTCCGTCGTCTCGTCCGTCTCCATGTCGTGGTGGATCTGCTTGAGCATGATGGTGAAGACGGCGTGGCTGCGGCTGCTCGTGTCGTTCATCTTGGTGCTGGCCACGGTGCGGGACGCGTCGCCGTTGGTCATGTGCCGCAAGATCTCGTCCAGGTTGCGCGCGGGGACCTCGGTCAGGTCCTTGACGTAGGGGCCCTCGCTCGGCGACTCGCGGATCTTGAGGTAGTTGGGCGGGCGGTTGGGAACTACGGGTACCAGCAGGTCGCGCACGTGCTCGTTGTAGACTTCAAAGTACGACACGCGCACGTTGTACGCCACGTTGGAGTTCTCGTTCTGCGCCGCCTCGATCCGCTCAAACAGGTCCTCGCACGTCCGCGGGATCAGTCCCGGCTGGTCGGGCGTCCCCATCATCGTGTACGACTTACCCGACCCCGTCTGCCCGTATGCAAAGATGCACGTGTGGTAGCCCTCGAAGTTGTGGTCCAGGAACTCCTCGCCCAGGCTGTTGTACACGTCCTCCTGCGTGGCGTAGTGCTTGTCCCTGGTGTCGTGACTCCAGAACGAGCTGTCAAACGTAAAGTTCTTCTCCTCGTACACCTTTTTCGACTTGGGCTGCTGCGACCGCGCCAGGTCGGGAGTTCCGTCGTCGGGCGCCAGGAGCGTCGTCTGCTGCGTTATCGGGTCCATGCTGACGAGACATCTTGTTTGACGGTCGATCTCTATCTCACCACGTAGACATGTCAGTTGGGATTATACTTGGCAGCAGCAGCAGCAGCAGCAGGAACAGGAACAGCCAGAGGAAGCATCGAAGGCTAGCCATACCTCTCTGCAGAAAAGCCCTGACACGGACCACGACCCGTACGTTTCCGCCACCTCCACCGTCCACCCTGGATAGCATGGGCACGCTCCCATCTCGCGACCGGAGGGATGGCGTCGAGGCTGATGAGCGGACGACGGCAGTGTGGTCGGGTCCTGGCGACGAGCGCGACGAGGGCATGAGTCGAGGGTCGGGCGCCATATTCCGTGCTGTCTCGTAGAGTTCTTCCACGGTCGAGTCGAGTCGAAGCAGTAGACTGTGCCACATAGCCAAAAGAGAAAAAGAGGACAGGGATGGGGAGGAGGGTCCGATAGTTTTGTTTACTTTGGCGTCGGTCTGGGGGAGGGGCCCTGGTTGCCGGGGTTGCAGCTCCCTTGCAGGGGTTTGTAGGGTACTTGGCGGTCCCGAATCAATTATAGGTTGCGCGAGTGATAGCAGCAGTATGGAAGGAAGAAAAAAAAAAGGAAATGATATGTGGCTGGACGGTTATACGAGACAGATAGTTGCAGGATCATGATTGAGAGAGAAGATGCATCTTGAAGAGTGAGGGAGAAGAAGAGTGGGAGGAAAAGGTGAGTAGACGGGCACGCGCGTGTCCTCACTCCTTTGTTGCTCTGTTTATCAAACACCGGTCTAAACACACGGGCATTACTCCATGCCAGCCAGGTTCCTTACGCACTTCTACCCCGCCCTTTAGGCTTTGGCTCGATGGATCTTGAAATCTGACATTGCATTTCTATCATGTCATCTGCTAGATATATCATTGTGCAGTGTCTTTTTCTTCTTCTTCCTATCATGACACCGGCTATCGTTGGGTTATTGGTTGCCAGCATTGTGGTCTATACCAGCAGTGCCATATATTATCACTATGTATGTGATGCTGACAATCCCGGCTACGACTCTACACCACATCTAGCCATTACATCAGTCCGTCTATGATGGCCCAACAGACTGTTAATACTGTGCCTTTTGAATCCAGGCATCCGTCATCTCGACAGTATTTCATTCATCTTTGCTGCATTACGACTCCGTGATATGCTCGTACAGCAGGTAACCATCTGCCGGATTAGTCATCATCCAGGGCACCACAGCGTATCGATACCCGTGCAGCGTGTAGCCCGATATTACAGCGACCAGCTACAGCGGTGTACCGCTAGAGGGCCAGCGACTAGACCCTCTGCAAATCCGCCACACCCACGATCTATCCCGCCGTAGCCTCCGGGAACATCTGTGACTCTCATCAACCATCGAAGCACGACGTAACCCATGGAAGAGTCATCGCCGAGGGGGCTTCATTGTTAAGTCTTGACCTTTGGGGGATCTTGCTCTCGGTATATGAACCCGTCCCGTCCTCTTGCTAGTAAGCAGACAGACAAACCCGTCACCTCCTCCACTTCCAGCTCAACACGCACATCCGTCACCATGACCTCCTGGTAGTATCAACCTCTTCCAGACTTCCTACGGTGATAGTGGCGATACTCGCCTACTTGAAGCACCCCTTTTTTGAGAGATGTCTCAGCATACATCCGACATATCCTAGACATAGCGGAAGCTTCACAGACGCTTTCAAAACCAGGGCTCTTGTCACCCCGCAATCATGGATGACGAAGACCTCCGCCAGACGGAGCTCGAGGCCCTCGAGGCCATCTATCCCGAGATCCGCCGTCCGGACGTCGCCAATGATCCGTTCACCTTTGAGGTGGATCTGGCCATACAGCCAGAGGCACCAGTCACGGTCACTTTTCCGGCTCCTGCCATCGGAGTCGGTGCTGCAGGCGGCCATCGAGAACCCAACACCGCCAACGGTCATCCGGAGGAGGACTTACTCCAGGTCTCTCACCTGCCACCTCTGTCGTTGCGAATGTCCCTCGGAGACGGCTACCCGCAGAAATCCCCGCCTCAGGTGAGGCTGTCCACAGACCCCCAGTGGCTGACCAGGGAGACGCTCGACAGGCTCGAGGCCGACGCCCGCCAGCTCTGGGAAGAGATGGCCCGTGATCTTGTAGCGTACGCATACATCGACCAGCTCCAGCGCTCTGCTGACGATGTCTTCGGCACCGTGGACCCAGACGGTACGCTCCACCTCGACGCGCAGCACAAGCTCGCTGTCTTGGACTACGATATCGAAGCCAAGAAGGCGGCATTCGAAAAGGAGACGTTCGACTGCGGCATCTGTCTTGGTACGTCGAAGATGATGAACAGTGTCACCACAATGAGAAGGAGCAGATGAACTGACGAGAATCTAGAACCTAGAAAGGGCTCAAAATGTCACAAGATGCTCGACTGCGGTCACATCTTCTGCCTGGGGTGCTTGCAGGACTTCTACAACGATGCCATCACGGAAGGCAGCGTAGCCACGGTACGGTGTCCCGCACCTAACTGCGCAAAAGAACGAGCATCGGCCCTGGAAAAGGAGGGCAAGAAGACGAGGAAGCCAAAGATGGCCATCAGTCCTAGTGAGCTCCTCCAGATCGGACTGTCCGAGGACACGGTGAAGCGCTACGTTATGCTCAAGTACAAGACGGTACTCGAGTCGGACAAGAGCACAATCTACTGCCCGCGGCAGTGGTGCGGCGGCGCTGCAAGGTCCGAGAAGCACAAGAAGCCATCCGGACTCGACTTCGCCGAGACGTCCGACGCCGAGTCCGAGGAGGATGAGCGGCAGGACGGGGCAGGGGAGAACGGAGACGGCAGAGACAGGGCCGCCGCCGAGAAGAAGGGCAAGGAAGAGATGGAGCCGGCCGACATGCTGGCCGTGTGCGAGGACTGCCACTTTGCCTTCTGCAGCCGCTGTCTCCAGACGTGGCACGGCGAGCTGAACCGGTGCATGTTCAAGGCGAGGGCGGAGGAGATCTCGGAGCAGGAGCAGAAGTCTCTGGAGTACCTCGAGCTGTACACGAGCCCGTGCCCGACGTGCGAGTGTCGCGCTCAGAAGACGCACGGGTGCAACCACATGATCTGCCCCCGCTGCCACACGCACTTTTGCTACCTCTGCTCGACGTGGCTGAACCCGTCCAACCCCTACGCGCACTACAACCCAGACTCGGTGAGCCCATACATGCAGCACGTCAGCACTGCCTGCAAGGGCAGGCTCTGGGACCTCGAGGACGGCCAGGGGGATAACGTCTTGCCGATGGAGATCCGGGCCAGAGGGCTGAGAGACCAGGGCGACGATCGACATCAACATCAAGGCCAAAATCACGTGCGCGGTGATGGGGACGACGAAGGCGACAACGACGGCGACGATGGCGACGGAAACCATCGCAGGCCGGGCATCGTGTTCCAGGCCAATGCTAACGGAGACGGGGCGGTAGCAGCTGAGCGTAACATGGTGGTGGCGCGAGAGGCACCTCTGGTGCTTCGCTTAATGGACGATCAGACCAACAACAACAACAACAACAACAACAACAACAATAATAATAATGTTCGCCGTCCCGACGCCGGTCAAAGGAGGCAGAGACAGCGACGACGCCCTATCCCTGATGCAGCTGCAGGTCAACAAGGTGCAGATGCAGGTAGAGTCGGAGGGGGTGGCGCAAGGGGGAACGGAGGTCGCGGAAGAAGAGGAAGAGGAGGTGGTGGAAGGCGACGAGGAGGTCACGGAGGCGGCGGCGCAGCAGCAGAAGCCGCAGCCGACGCCAGGAGAGTTTATGGCGAAGCGGCGCATGGACGACAGGCGCAGGCGCAGGCGCAGGCGCAGGCGCAGGCGCAGGCTCTCGCCCAGGCTCAGCAGATGCAGGCACAGGAATGGGGAGCCGCCCAGGTGGACTGGGTGGATAGGTTTGTGCAGATGGCCTTTCTTGATAACGAGGATGAGGTTGATGCGTGGGAGTCTGAGGACGAGCTGCTATTCCTGATAGACTAACATCTTGCCTGCTCTCCTTTCTCTCTTTTTTTTACCCTCTTCTTTTTATGATTGTATATCCTTTATGACGGTCATCTATGTCATGTTGAACCTGGTTGTGGGTTCAAATGGACATGATGGCATTTTTTTTCTTTATTCACTTCTTCTTCTTCTTCTCCTTCTTCTTCTTCATTTTCTCTAAATGACTCGGTGTTCTGTCTGATTCATGAGCGAACATGAAGTATATACTACTCGGTTACCAGGTAGGATGTCAATACATGTTCCACCTCTAGAACAAGCACGTACAGCGAGAAAATCATTATTGCCAATTGGGAATATGGCGTGCATGTTGTAGGGCCGATGTGCAAGTCCAGCGCCCCCCCTTCCCTTGGCGAGATCGAGATGATGTCGATGACGGTATGAAGAGGATGAACGGAGCTGTTCTCCCCGAATCGAGAGAGGCGTCTGGGCCCGATTCGCTTCTATGGAGAGCCCGGACTGGAAGGAAACTGGGCGAAAGGATAGCGTGTCGGTCGGATCCATACCTGTTTACCATGTGGTTGGCCTGATGTTGGGAATATGACGTTTCTTCCTCTTCTTCCTCTTCTTCTTCTTCCCTTTACCCCTTCAGTCCCCTCCCCTCCCCCTTTATTTTTTCCCTTTTTTTCTTTCTTTTCAATCTCGGAGTGAATCTAGAACGGAGAAAACCTAATACTGGCGTACCGGACGATGTACAATTCAAGACGTTCTGACCGAGAAGCTCGCAGTGGTCTTTTGCATGATGCACGACTTGACTCGTTCCTTCGCATTCTCACCTCATCAGACAAGGACGAGAAAGAATAGCGAGAAGAAAGAATGAGTTTGAGTTTAATAGGGAAAAAATGGGGAGAGAGAGGGAAAGGAAAAAAAGAAACCTTGACTGAAATACCATCATGTATCATGATGTTCCCAACCTTCGGATCACACGTACCCCCCCGCTCCTTGTCCCGAAGGAGGTTCTTTTGCGACTATGATTGTACAGTGTAGTATTTCCAGGGAGCGATGCAGGTGATGATGACGATATTCCTGCTATTGCCTGTTAAGGGGAAAGTCTCGTCTTGACCGTGTAAGTTGTAGTATATAGACAGGCAGAGTTTGATAATCCGAGACATGTTACTTGCATAGAGAAGCGGGAGAACGACCTCTGTCTCGCATGACGGACGTACGGCTTAGAAACACTTTCCGACGGTACAATCTATCCCAAGGGAGTTAGTAGCAGTAGCAGTAGCAATAATGGTCGTGATGGAATTGATAGTAGTAGAGGATTCATCATCGTCTCCTCACCACCCTCCTCCCTCCCTCCCTCCCTCCCTCCCTCTCTCTCTAGGCCTATTCGATGACATGCCGCCCTTGCCTAACTCTGCTAGCAAGTTCTAGCCTCTTTCTTCTTTTTTCTTTCTTCTCTGACAAAACAATGAGAACAAGGGAAAAGTTTATATTCTGGTCCCGTCTACCGTTGCCATTGTCTGGCATGAATCGAACAATGGAGTGGAGAAGGGAACGGAGGAATGTGGCTTTTTTATTTATCTATATGTATACATTGATACATATATTTAGATATACATTTATAAATACATTTATATTTACAAGGAAAAAAAATCGGTTCCCTGCTCTCTCTTCTCTGTGAGTCTGTGTGTGCGGCTACAACGGGGCGGGAAAGGAAGAGGAAGGATGCCGCCCTAGAGCATGTAATATCACTAGGCCTGGATCGATCGAGCCTAGCATAGTTGACGATGCCTATCACGCACATGAATGAGGACCGGCCCTGGAAGACAAGGGGGAAGCATAATCGGCTGACTAGCGAGGACTCTGGAACATCGCAGGAGACGAGTAAGGATATCTAGGAGGAGACGGAGGAGGCGAAAGAAGAGAGGCCAAGAGGAGATTAGTGTCCATGGCGGTGGTGTAGGTGTCGATACCGGTATCATCATGACTGGTATCTCGTGTACATGGGGTCATTGTAGATGCTCGGCAGCGTACACCGCGGAGCGAATGTGAACGTGCGAAGCCATACCTGACGACACTGAGGAAGACAGGCAGGAACCAGACTCCCCTCGTCGGGATGGAAGGTCGATCCCACCCCGAGGGACACCCCGAGGGAGGAGGAATATAAGGATAGATCCGGGGGTTTCCTCTAGATGCAGGGGACAGTCTGGGACAGAGAGCGGCGAAAGGATGCCGTACGTGCAAACCAACCGGTACGAGTACACGGAATTACAGATGGCTGAGATGGGCATTACGACGAGTCACGTCGGAGTTGCCGGTTGTGAAGAAGGGGGTTATTATTCTGCTGTACCCGTATGCTCCTATATGCGTATGCGTACATGTGTGTATGTGTATGTGTATGTGTATGTGTGTGTATGTGTATGTGTATGTGTATGTGTATGTGTATGTGTATGTGTGTGTATGTGTGTATATGTGTAAATGTGTGTATGTGTATATATGTGTATATGTAAGTATATATATATATATGTGTGTGTGCGTGTGTGTGTGTATGTGCATGTGTATATAGAACAGAAAACAACTGCCTTTCGGCCCTTTTCCATAGTGGAGGAGAGTAGAGGGAGAAAAAGGTTTGTAAAGAAAAAAAAAGAAGAAGAAAAGACGATAGTCATCTCTCTCTCTCTCTCTCTCTCTCTCTTTTCCCAAAAAAAAGGGAGGGGAGAGGGCTTATAGGATGATGCCATGTTGGCTATCTCGACGACCCTTTCCACCTTGCTTGCAGTATCTCCGCCGTGTCAGTGTATGATGACGGTGACCATGTAATAGTATGCAATCATAGTCCGAGCGTCACATGTAGTTGAGTGGTCTGTAGGAAGACGGGATTCGAAGACAGGAGCATTCTCTACTTGGCTGTACGAGTAGTAATGACGGGGGGTTCAAAGAGTACGGAGTACAGATAAGTAATAGCAGCACATCGCACACACAAGACAAGGCCATCACACCACGCATAACACATCACACGTAGTGGCCAACTGTTGTACATGTAATCTGTATGCCCATCGCGGAAACAAAGAAAGCACAGAACAGAAAGGAATACCGGTTGTGCATAGGGCTGCATAAACAGCATAGTGGCATGGGAAGAGGACCGGACTTTATGCAACATTGAACGATGCATACATACTGTATCACAGCGTCGACGTCTATCCCACATAATAGCGGATGCTGCTACTCCGTATCGCCATTACCAAGTATCGAGCTAGTATTGACAGTAGTTGATACTACGGAGTTGTCAGTAGATGCCGTACGGATACTCGTACAGATTACAAGGTGTGATATATTATCACGTATTGGTACTCGTATGATGTATACTATATATATATATTATATATACTATATACATATTATATATATATATATATACAATACAATATATGGTATATGATATACAATATAGATATATATAATATCAATATATATAATATATTAATATATAGAGCATTCAAAACTCGGTTGCAATATATGCCACCCCCCCTCCCCCTCCTTACTATCAAGATACCAAGATACTAAGTGATCAGCTAAGGAAGAAACGACAGACGCCGGCTCTGATCAGAGGGGAAGAAAGAAGAAAGGTAAAAAGAAGAGGCAGGAAAAAAGAAAGGAAAGCCATTGCGAGCCGCCATAGCAAGACATGACTGCAGAGTCCCGTCCCTCCCCCTCCCCCTCCCCCTCCTCTTCCATCCGTCAAAGTTTGTGTGTGTGTGTGTGTATGTGTTCCTTGTCGAGCCGACCAACCAAGCTTGATATGTCACCCCTCCTCCCGTGTCTCTTCGATCCCTCATTTTTCTCTTCTTCTTCTTCCTCCTCTCTCTTCGCCGTCCCTCCCCCCTTCACCAAGCTGTGTCCTTTCTTCTTCTATGAGTATCTTGTTATCTATTCGTCTAGAGTCCATCTCTTCCTCAGTAGTACCGTTATTGAAGATGAGAGTAGAAGCAAAGAAGAAAAAAAAGATGAGAATAAAAGAGAGGAGAAGCTTTTTTTGTTGTGAAATACACTATTCATGATACTTACTACGTACTGGCCCCTCTCTCGTCGCAAGCGAGTTTGACAAGGACCTTGCATCCACGGACAAGCAACCAAACCCATACACTCATTGCCCCCCCATAACATCATCTCTCTTTCCCTCTCTTCTCTTCCCCCCTCCTTCTCCCCTCATCTTCCCTCCCTCCCTTCCCCCCCTCCTCCTCCTCACACACACACACACACACACTCTCTCTCTCTCTCTCTCTCTCTGTGTGTGTGTGTGTGTGTGTGTGTGTGCATGTATGCAGTAGCCAAGGTCGGACAGAGCAACTAAAGCACCGCGGCAACCGGGTCTTGGTTCCACGACAGGACCGTTTTCTTTTTTTTTAAAAAAGAAAAATATGTATATATATATATATTTAATATTTTACTCTCTCTCTCTCTCTGTCTCTCTTTCACACGCACACCATGCTGCAAGCCTACTGCATGTCCATCTCGGTTACGGACGTCGTCCTTTTATTTATGTATCTTTCCCGAGAAAAAAAATCTATTTTATTTGTAAAAGTTTTTATCATATATATATTATCATGTATATTATAATTTTTTCATTATAATTTTTTATTCTCTGCCTTCTTCTTTCTCTCCTCACATGAATTATGTAGGCTGCATGATTGCTCATGTACATGATTAGGCGCACGCGCGCGCCCGGTGGAACTTTCCATATTCCCTCGTAGGTTCAAGTCATGCCTGCGCCGTGATACTCTCCTCCGCTCCTCTGCTCGTAGTCGTATGCTTGATATTGCCGTTACTGCTCGCTCTACAGCTGGAACGAGATCATGAGATCATTTCCACCACGTCTACAGATTCACGGCGCGAACCTTTGCCGCTTAGCGTGCCACCCGAGCGGGTTTCTACAACGTTGGCAAGTTCAAGGTGATGGAGGGGGAAAGAGATGGATTGAAGAAGGAAAATAAATGAAATACATGAAATAAATAAAAAAACCGTTGGGGCCATCGTCTCCGTCTCCACGGTTGCCACCACCCCCCCTCCCTTTCCTCCTCCTCCCCCTCTTCTCCTTATTTAGATTGACTCGCGCCAAATGAGGGGTGCAAAAAAGCAGCTAGTTCCTTGAGAGACTTGAGAAGAATGATACAGAGGAGTGGATTGTACGCGGCGCGCGCAGAGGCAAAAAGAGCTAGTAAAGAAGCTGCGAGAGCCACGCGAGATAGAACCGGGGGGGGGGGGGTCATCATTGAATGATGGGGAAAACGTACGGGTACGACGACACTGATCTCTCTCTCTCTCTCTCTCTCTCACACACACACACACATACACACACACACACACAGAGAGAGAGAGNCAAGCTATGAATAACGGGCAACTGCCTGTTTCGGCACCTCCATCGCCCCTTCCCTTTGTAACGTCTTTCCCGAGTCAGCACTGTGGAGAGACGCCCGCACCTGTTGGTTGTCTCTCTCTCTCTCTCCCTTCTCCCTCTCTCTCCTTCTCTCCTTCTCTCTCTCCACATCTCCATCTACGAGGTGCATCTCCATCCATGTCTATCGGTACCTCACTCTCTACGAGTAATACGGCTGGAGTAGACCGGTCTTTTTTTTTTTTGCTAGTAGCCGTAATACCTCTCAATCGCACACCACACACCACACGCCACACGCCACACGCGCACCATACGAATATATCATACTGTGCAGATGCATACGCACGCACACACACACAAACATCTCATACCGCATTCCTACTCGTGACCTCAACCCAAGAGAGAAAGAGCTGGTGGTGGGGAGTGAAGATGACAGATAGACAATAGGCAAGAGACAGACCACACATCTTCCTGAGGCTTGACCTTCCCCCAAAGCCAGGGACCATCAGGAATGCCCAGGAATGCCGGGGGCCGGGGGGGGGGGGGGGGGGGGGGGGGGTCACTGCTGCTGCTGCTGCCGCTGCCGCTGCCGCTGCTTCTCCTAATACTAATTCTCCTACTCCTATACATTGTCGCCTTCTTATATATCACTACATCGGCCAGGCGATCAATATTACTATACATCGTCGCCCGCAACGCAACAGTAACGAATGCGTGTGAGAGTATGCGCATGTGTGTGTGAGAGTGAGTGTGTGTGTGAGAGAGAGAGGGTGAGAAAGAGAGAGAGGAGAGAGAGAGAGAGAGAGTGTGTGTGTGTGTATGTGCGTCCTAGACCTTGCCGGGGTTTGATCTTCAGTGGGGGCGATCGCCGCGGCTGACTTCCGACAAAAAACCAGGTGACAGTGAAACGGTAGCATTGAATTCTGGGGGATCGCGTTGCCGAGTTTCGAGGGAGCAGTATCAGCATGGCGGTTCTTGTCGTCTGTAGTTTTCGTACGATTCGTTACCTGTACGGGAGTATCGACAAGAGAGTCACCCCAAATGGTGAAAACTGCTCGTCAAGGTATTGATCAGTTCCTCATGATATCCACACCTTGGAAGAAACGCGGGCCGACAGGAAGAATGGATGTGATGTACCATGGAGAGCAAGGATAGATAACAAGAATACAGATGGCTGTCGACAGAGCAAACCTGGTTTTTCTTCCTCTCTTCATCTGCGCGTTTAATCAAAAAAAAAAAAAAACCCCTTGTCATTAATAAATGCACATACATATAGTTCTGTAGGACGTAGCTGCATGGGATTGCGGAGCAATGATACATGTACAGAGGAGGGGGGAGGGGGGATATTCCCGTCAACCATGTTAAGAGAGAGAGAGAGATCCACATCTACTCGTACATGTTGCTGCGTGCAGTTGCATGGCGCGCGTCGCCCGCAGCGGCAGCAGAGGCAGCAGAAGCAGCAGAAGCAGCAGAAGCAGCAGAAGCAGCAGCGAAAGAAGCAGCTTTCCTGTCCGGATCACTCGTATACTCCGGACCGTAGAAGCGGCCTTGGCTCTTCCTCCGTCTCATTCATCCCTTCCCGCCAAGACGACTGTGTGAGTACCCACACAGACTCCTCTTGGTGAGAGCAGCACCTACAGCCTGCAGGTATCGATACTATTAATATCCTCACCATCTCTGTCAATATTATCTATCAGTAGTGCAGCAGTAGAGTGCTGGTAACCGTATGAGTACTCTACGTGTTGAGTAAGCCCGTAGCGACTCTCTCTGTACTCTGCGTGTGAGAACCCGAGACCCATGTTGCGAGCTCGACAGCTCATGCAATACTGAGACACAACGCGTGACCCTCCACCCCCC